TCCAGAAGAACCGCAGATTCGCCAGGCCCATGTCTGCATAGAGCAGACAGGAACCCCAGAAGGATGGGGCGAATCGACCACGTCCAATGCACCCACTAAGATGACATGACGAAGGGAACAGAGCCCCTTCCGAAAGAAAAAGTACACACACATATATACACATATATTATGTACACATTTATATATACACATACACAAATACACACACAAGGTGTATTTTACACACGTGTGTATGCACACACACCCAGTGTACACATGTACATGTGTACCTGGTTACCTGGTTGATACCTGGTTGATGGGGTTCTGGGAGTTCTACTCCCCAAGCCCGGCCCGAGGCCAGGCTTGACTTGTGAAAGTTTGGTCCACCAGGCTGTTGCTTGGAGCGGCCCGCAGGCCCACATACCCACCACAGCCCGGTTGGTCCGGCACTCCTTGGAGGAATAAATCTAGTATCCTCTTGAAAATGTCCACGGTTGTTCTGGCAATATTTCTTATGCTTGCTGGGAGGATGTTGAACAACCGCGGACCTCTGATGTTTATACAGTGTTCTCTGATTGTGCCTATGGCACCTCTGCTCTTCACTGGTTCTATTCTACATTTTCTTCCATATCGTTCGCTCCAGTACGTTGTTATTTTACTGTGTAGATTTGGTACTTGGCCCTCCAGTATCTTCCAGGTGTATATTATTTGATATCTCTCTCGTCTTCTTTCTAGTAATTACCTAAGTGTAATTACCTAAGTGTAGTTACAGGATGAGAGCTACGCTCGTGGTGTCCCGTCTTCCCAGCACTCTTTGTCATATAACGCTTTGAAACTACTGACGGTCTTGGCCTCCACCACCTTCTCACTTAACTTGTTCCAACCGTCTACCACTCTATTTGCGAAGGTGAATTTTCTTATATTTCTTCGGCATCTGTGTTTAGCTAGTTTAAATCTATGACCTCTTGTTCTTGAAATTCCAGGTCTCAGGAAGTCTTCCCTGTCGATTTTATCAATTCCTGTAACTATTTTGTATGTAGTGATCATATCACCTCTTTTTCTTCTGTCTTCTAGTTTTGGCATATTTAATGCTTCTAACCTCTCCTCGTAGCTCTTGCCCTTCAGTTCTGGGAGCCACTTAGTAGCATGTCTTTGCACCTTTTCCAGTTTGTTGATGTGCTTCTTAAGATATGGGCACCACACAACAGCTGCATATTCTAGCTTTGGCCTAACAAAAGTCATGAACAATTTCTTTAGTATATCGCCATCCATGTATTTAAATGCAATTCTGAAGTTAGAAAGCATAGCATAGGCTCCTTGCACAATATTCTTTATGTGGTCCTCAGGTGATAGTTTTCTATCTAGAACCACTCCTAGATCTCTTTCTTTATCAGAATTCTTTAAAGATTTCTCACATAATATATAGGTTGTGTGGGGTCTATGTTCTCCTATTCCACATTCCATAACATGACATTTATTAACATTAAATTCCATTTGCCAAGTGGTGCTCCATATACTTATTTTGTCCAGGTCTTCTTGAAGGGCATGACAGTCATCTAAATTTCTTATCCTTCCTATTATCTTAGCATCATCAGCAAACATGTTCATATAATTCTGTATACCAACTGGTAGATCATTTATGTACACAATAAACATCACTGGTGCAAGAACTGAACCCTGTGGTACTCCACTTGTGACATTTCTCCATTCTGATACATTGCCTCTGATTACTGCCCTCATTTTTCTATCAGTCAGAAAATTTTTCATCCATGATAGAAGCTTACCTGTCACCCCTCCAATATTTTCCAGTTTCCAGAACAACCTCTTATGTGGAACTCTGTCGAAAGCCTTTTTTAGGTCCAGATAGATGCAGTCAACCCAACCATCTCTTTCCTGTAATATCTCTGTGGCTCGATCATAGAAACTGAGTAAATTCGATACACAGGATCTTCCAGATCGAAAACCATACTGTCTGTCTGATATTATATCATTTCTCTCTAGGTGTTCTACCCATTTAGTTTTGATTAGTTTTTCCAATACTTTCACTATTGCACTTGTCAATGATACAGGTCTATAATTGAGGGGGTCTTCCCTGCTGCCACTTTTGTAGATTGGAACTATGTTAGCCTGTTTCCACCCGTCTGCTACGATTCCTGTACACAGGGATGCCTGAAAGATCAGGTGAAGTGGAATGCTGAGCTCAGATGCACATTCTCTCAGAACCCATGGTGAAACGCCATCTGGGCCAGCTGCTTTGTTCTTACCGAGCTCCTTGAGCATTTTTTCCACTTCGTCTCTAGACACCTCTATGTGTTCTATGTTGTTCTCTGGAATTCTTATTGTATCTGGTTCCCTAAAGATTTCATTTTGTACAAACACACTTTGGAACTTTTCGTTTAGTGTTTCACACATTTCCTTTTCATCTTCCGTGAATCGTGAATTAGTGAGTACATTTGGAGGGCTTTGAGACAATCCCAATAATTTAGGCGCTTTATTGCGTCTATGCGTGCCGTATATGTTCTCTGTATTCCCTCTATTTCAGCAATCTCTCCTGCTCTGAAGGGGGAAGCGAGTACTGAGCAGTACTCAAGACGGGACAACACAAGTGACTTGAAGAGTACAACCATTGTGATGGGATCCCTGGATTTGAAAGTTCTCGTAATCCATCCTATCATTTTTCTGGTTGTTGCAAAATTTGCTTGGTTATGCTCCTTAAACGTTAGGTCGTCAGACATTATAATTCCGAAATCCTTTACATGCTGTTTGTGTGTACACACACACATACACGTGAAAAGAAAATTACAAGCCGCCGACCAGTGGGCAGAGAGCACCACGCCAGCCAGGCGAAGAAGGCACAAAACTGCATCAAAAAACCCACCTCGACACCAAAACCCCAAAGTCCCAGCACGACCACAATACGTGCCAAGACCCAAAAAGATCAGTCTGCAAGCCAGGAAAACCCCGGAACCCCAGAAGGCAGAACCGGGTTACACATGAGGAAGAAACCTCCGGAACAAAACCAAAGAACTGAAAGGAACCAGGAATTGAACCAGGGGGAGCCCAAACCACCACATTTGTCGGCGGAGATACACCACAAAGGCAAAGCACAGCCTCCAGACAGAACCCCCAGGCAAACGGTCAAAACAGACCGAAAACCGAGGGACAAGGTGTTTGAGCAAGCATAAACAGACATGGACACTAAGCCCAAACCCTAGGGCCCCAGACCCAAAACAGACAAAACAGAAAATCCAGTGTAAAATCAACACTCAAACATTCCCAGAGGAACAGAAACTGGGCAGAAAACACCAGAAAAGCAAAGAAACGACAACAGGAGAATAAAACCCCTGAAAAAGGTGAAAAACTCACCCAAGACGCTCGCTCGCACACTCAGGCGCATGTAAACAAACCGCAATGCCGCCCTGGTGGCCACGCCAGGAAACTGGCAGATGCTCCGGGCGGCCCCGGAGCATCCGAGTGGGAAACCAACCTAGCGTGTTGCAGCAACCTAACCTAGCTTGCAACACAGATGCCGCCTGTACTCTGAACAGTAATAACATCAGGAGAGTACTGAAGAACAAGCAGAGAATCTCTCTCGCAAGACTCCAGGTCAAGGTGTCAGTGACCCAACAGGCAGCATGACAGAGGTAAAAGTGGCGAATGTCACCCTGAGACAAGGGCACAGCAACCAACGATCCCGTACAAGACGGGTTGGAACCCGGAAGACACATTTAATGGTCAACCGAGCCCTGACAGGGGTTTCCAGGGCCCGTACGATAACAACTACGGGAAGCCCGGGTAAGGTGTTGTTAACCGGTTCAGAAACCCAAAAATAACAAGGCGGTGGAGGACAACACTGAAAACCCCTGCGATGTGTACAATCATGGGGGCCTAGCAGAGGGCCACCAAACACTACCAGTGGAACTATAGCCACACTAGGCAGACCCCCACCAGGCAAATGAAAATAAAAAAAGAAAAACCCCGCAAAAGTACACCGTCTCCAGAGGCAACAGGAACCGGTCGCCGCTTAGGTGGCAGGTCGCGCAACACCTTGATACCCTAACCAGCACAATACCAGTCCCTTCCCACGGCCAAACAAGAGCCCCAAGCCCTAGCTGGCCCCAAGGACGAGGCAAATGTCGAGCAGCAAGAACCTTTACAGGAATGGTTCCCGAATGCCCCAGGGAAGATAACCCTGTCACACAAGGGCAGTACTCACAGGGCACTTAGGGAAGGAAGCCCCTAAGTGCATGCAGCCCTGGTACTGATAAGGAACACCTGACCACCGTACAACACAACACACGGCAGTGAACGCCACAGAAGGCAAACACCGCCTAGGAAACCGAGGCCAGAGAAGCATCTATCCCGGTTGACATTAGCTTACGAACTGATGCTAGATAGCCGGCACGGCGAGGTCCGGGGCGGGGAGGGCTGTGCGGACAATCGGTGCGGCAGTAAAGTGTGATGTTTGCTCGTTACCTTGGGATTGTAGGGAGTTTCTACCTCTGTTCGTGTTTTTTTTTTTAGTTTTTTTTTTTAGTTTTTTTACCATGTGGGGTTTGTTTTGTTATGCCTACCTTTCTGGGTGCCTAACCCAGATCGATGGCAGATAAGAAAAACCCCAACCACAAGGGGGTTTTCCAGGGCCATTGTTCCCTGAAACCTCTCTGAAGGGGCCAGGTTCTGGGGCTGGTCCATGGTAGGTCTGAACTCCTTATATTAGACCGGGACATTAGCTAACACACATTAGCCCGATAAGCTCCAGGGAGCCGTAGGGGCTCCCCACAGTAAAGTATTAGAAAGTTCTCTTTTGCAAACCTAGTGGTAGACAGTTGAAACTGGTCGAGAGAAAGGGGTGGAGGCCAAATCCATTAGTGGTTTAGAAGCAACAATACAGAGCACAGTATTGGGAAGACCAGACAATGAGCATAGCTCTCATCCTGTATCTACACTTGGGTTATTACACCCACCAAACTACACTGAGGACAACAAATACTGTATACAAGATTTAGAGAGATACTTACCATCTCCATCATCACAGAAGTCATCAAGAAATGGAAAGCAAGCTGTAAAAGATAAATAATATAAGATTAAAACAATGTGTACTAACTATTGAAGTTTAGACATTTATCTCCTTTATATATGTTAAACTCTTAGACAGTGGCTATGGAGAAATATTCATACCCCGCCATGCACAAAAATTTATTTGTTTAATATATATGTATTTAATTATATATATATAAATAAAAAGGACGCTCCGTTTTATCCTCCTAGGTTCCACCGATTGTTTTATCACTTTTTCCATTTATTTACATCCACAGTTTTAATATCCATATTTGCATCATACATATAAAACCTAGACAATAATAGTTTAAATCACATGACGATGACCACATTCCCCTAGTAACCTTCATGACAATAACAGCATTTGTACCATGAAATGCTAGCAAGATTTTTTCAAGATAAACTCCATTACATCCACAGACCTATTATATCCATATTTGCATCATACATGTATCTTCTTCAGGTTATCTTGAGATGATTTCAGGGCTTTTAGTGTTCCCACAGCCTGGTCTTTGACCAGGCCTCCACCCCTAGGAAGCAGCCCATGACAACTAACACCCAGGTACCTATTTACTGCTAGGTAACAGGATCATAGGGTGAAAGAAACTCTGCCCATTGTTTCTCGCTGGCGCCTGGGATCGAACCCAGGACCACAGGATCACAAGTCCAGCATGCTGTCCGCTCGGCCGACCGGCTCCCTAAACAGAAATTTTGTTTTGTAAACCCCAGATAATTTTATATCTTCATATGATAACCCACATTACCCTGTGAATCAACAATTTACGACATCCGCTGTCTAAGGGTTAATGTGTTTCCATTCTATTAGAAGATCCAACTGGATCTTGTATCCTGTATCGATTACTGTCAAGCTGGCTGATCACCAACGAGACTATGGCATACAAGGCAAGTGTCCTCTACAGCACGACTGCTCACACAGACTTCAATACTTAATATAGTATCCCACTCTATCCTAGAAAATTAAAGTGACACTGACAGTAAGTCACTGCACCACCTATAAAATGCAGTCAAAAACTACTGAAAGAAAAAACAAAAGATTTAGGAGGAATCATGTCAAAAGATCTTACTTTAATACAACAGACCTTGCTTTAAGAACACACACTGTCACAACTGCAAGAAAACTGACAGGTTAATAACAAGGAACTTTCAAACAAAAGATGACATACTAACTACAGTACCTGTTGACAATTTCAGCAATCAGTGTCACCATGATCCCAGTCTCTGACCAGGCCTCCTGGTTGCTAGTTTGATGAACCATGCTGTTCGATGCACCTGCTCGCAGCCTAACATACAAGTTGCAGCCTGGTTGATCAGGTATCCTTTGAAGGCGTTTGTCGAGTTATCTTTTGAACATTGCAAGAGACTGGCCAATATTGCCACAGAGGTGTAGAGGAAGTGTTGAAAAGTCTTGGCCCTTTGATGTTGATAGTTTTCTTTCATCATGTCTATTGCACCTTTGCTTTTCAGAGAAGCTATTTTTCACATCCTGCTATGCCTTGTGGTCTTTTGTGTTATTTCTGTGTGCAGATTTTGAAACCAGTGCTTCTAATATTTTACCAGTCTCCGTGGTGTAGTGGCAAGGCACTCGCCTGACGTTCCGCGAGCGCTTTGTCATGGGTTCGTATCCTGGCCGGGGAGGATTTACTGGGTGCAAATCCTTAACCGTAGTCTCTGTTTAACTTAACAGTAAAATGGTTACTTGGTTGTAAAAATACAAGAATGTAACAACTCTTGTATATATTTCAAAAAAATTCAAAGTGTAATTATTATCTATCCCTCCCGCCTGCATTCCAGGGAAGAGATTTAAAATTTTCTGACCCAATAAATTAGATGTTTTGCCAAGTGGATTCAAGCTGTAAAAGATCTTTGCATGCCCTCCATTTTAGCAATTTCTCCAGCTTTATATGAGGCAGTTAGTGTACAATAATACTGTACTGTATTCCATTCTAGAGAATCAAAATATCTTTAAGTATCATTGGTATAACATCTATTGTTTGGAAGGTCTTGTTATGCAACCTGTCATCGTTCATGCAGTCGTGATAGTAACTATATTGTGTTTTCTAAAAGGTAAGGTCTTCTGACATGATTACTTTTAAATCTTTTACATTACTTTTTCCATTCAATAATGTGTGTAATAATAATGTACACTAACAACCCTATTTAAAGCTAGATAAATTGCTGGCCTGGAGAATGTGCAAAAGTCTTTCATTGCACAAATTTAATTAAACATCTACAGCACAGGCGATACATATTTATTTATATTTGTAAATATTAGAGGGGACTGGTTCCAAATCTGCACACTAAAATAACATCACATGATACCAGGAGGCATAGCAGGATGTGCAAAATAGCCCCGTTGACAGGGATACACACAATAGGTATACTGAGAGAGAACTAACAACATCAAGGTGCCAAGACTTTTCAACACTTTCTCTACACGTACGGGGCATAACTGGACAACCTCTCATTGTGTTCAAGAGAATTTGGTAAGTGCTACCAATGAATACCTATTCAACCAGGTTGCAATTCATATGTCAAGAGACCTACCAGGCGGTTCAACCAGTTGATGAAGAAACCACCAAAGAGGACACTTAATCAGAAATGGGTACTCTGAAACATTGATCCCTGGAACCAACAGGAAGTAGCTGTTAACAGCAGGAGTTTGGGTATCCTGTTTAGAAAAGGTTTATTTTACCTCTGATATTATTACAAAGAGCATCTTTGTTGTAAGAAGTTGTGCATGTACATTACAAGTTGTGTATTATTTCATCTGTACCTCTTCCCACTTACACCCTTCCCTCACACACATCCTTTCTCAGACACACTAAGAGTCAACATTCCTCTAGAACCAGCTTTTCAGATTTACACACTTGCAAATTTACCCTTACACCCTTAAAACAAGCATGGCTACTAAAACAAAACAAAATTAGATTTTATATACAGTATATTGTTTATATTAAAAAAAAAATTGAATGTAATGAAAATCACCTTTCTGGAAGAGCCCCGGTGGCTCGCTATAGCTACAGTATTTTGCCGAGTGCGCTTCAAGCTACCAGTCACATCAGTTGCAAGAGTTCCTTGGCCTACCAGGGACCAGAGCCAAAATCTGGCCCCCCTCATAAGAGGTGCAGGGAGCAAATAACATTTTGCTATTTCACTGGGAAAGCATCCAGAAACTCGGCAAAGCTTTACAGACAACTTTTGGATTCCAAAGACTCAAAAACCACTAAAAGCCAAAGAACTTCCCAAATAAAACAAACTAAAGAAAAAACTAGCTAGGACCTGAAAGTAGCAAATGCTGCCACCATGCGGCCAGGTGCTCAGTCAATCTTCTGACCACAGATCGGTTCAGGAGCAGATTAACAAAGCCACGAACCAACGAACATGGAAGGGAGGGAGGGAGACAGGAAGCCACCAGAGCTTTACAAGACAGAGGCATGTCATTACATTTAATGAATCACAGGTTTCTAGACGAGCCCTTAGGTGGCTTCCTATAGCTAAAGAATTGCTAGAGAATTTAATGGAATTTACTAGAGAGAAGGAGAGACAGTAGGCACTAAGTAAAAGTAGACTGCAATGGCCAGGAAACACAACCAAGGGCAACACGGCAAAAAGAGGACCAGGGACAAATACCCAACTGTCATGACCCTGTTAGTCTGCCAACATTCCAGATCCCAAATATCCACCAAGACTTATTAGACAAGACTACCACGAGTGCAGCATATTTGCGATCATCATGGTTCCAGGGATACACCAGAGGTTGGCGAGCCTTGATGACACCGAAGACAATTTGAGAAACAAGAGTCTTATAACAGGGGACCAAGGAGATTAAATGAACCCAAAGGGGATCCACTGGAGCTGAAGCAGTGGCACTCGAGTACTGATGAACTGCTGGCACCGGATAAATTATGCACCCATGACAACCAAGCATCAATAACCAAAAGACCCCTCAAAAATCCTACTCATTATTTGCCTGAAATGAAGGGATAGTTAAAAAAAAAAAAAAAAAAACACACACACACACTCGGGAAATAAATTCACAGAAGATGAAAAGGAAATGTGTGAAACACTAAACGAAAAGTTGCAAAGTGTGTTTGTACAAAATGAAACCTTTAGGGAACCAGATACAATAAGAATTCCAGAACAACAACAGAGAGCACATAGAGGTGTCTAGAGACAGTGGAAAAAATGCTCAAGGAGCTAAGAAAGAAAGCAGTTGGTCTAGATGGAGTTTCACCATGGGTTCTGAGAGAATGTGCACCTGAGCTCAGCATTCCACTTCAACTGATTTTTCAGGCATCCCTGTGTACAGGAGCTGTAGCTGATGTGTGGAAAAAGGCTAACATAGTTCCAATCTACAAAAGTGGAAACAGGGAAGACCCCCTTAATTATAGACCTGTATCATTGACAAGTGTAATAGTCAAAATATTGGAAAAAATAATTAAAACTAAATGGGTAGAATACTTGGAGGAAAACGATATAATATCAGACAGACAGTATGGTTTTCGATCTGGAAGATCCTGTGTAACGAACTTGCTCAGCTTTTATGATCGAGCCACAGAGATTTTATAGGAAAGAGATGGTTGGGTTGACTGCATCTATCTGGACCTAAAAAAGGCTTTCGACAGAGTTCCCCATAAGAGGTTGTTCTGGAAACTGGAACATATTGGAGGAGTGACAGGTAAGCTACTAGCATGGATGAAAAATTTCCTAACTGACAAAAATGAGGACCATAATCAGAGGCAAGGTATCGGATTGGAGGAATGTCACAAGTGGAGTACCACAGGGTTCAGTTCTTGCACCGGTAATGTTCATTGTCTACATAAACGATCTACCAGTGGGAATACACAATTACATGAACATGTTTGCTGATGATGCTAAGATAATAGGAAAGATAAGAAACTTAGATGATTGTCATGCCCTTCAAGAAGACCTGGACAAAAGTATATGGAGCAACACTTGGCAAATGGAATTTAATGCTAAT